CTAGACAGTTCTAGAAATATTCTTGACTGATCCTGACGGGGTCCTGACGCGGACCCTGGCGGGGACGCGTGCGGTGCCTCCTAAGCCTGGACACCATCTAGACGCTTCTGGACATGTTTTCTCGACGGCACCTATCTATTCTAGACAGTGTTTCGACAATTATTGTTTAGACAGAAAATGACAGTTTCTAGATCACTGTCAAGAAGTGGCACTTCTAGACATCGTCTCAGACGCGTTCTAGACTGTCTAGTTCTCGTCTAAAACGCATCTGTTTTAGGTCTAGTTTTACACGTCTAGAACATGTCGACATGTGTCTAAGCAGAACGTCAGGGTAAAATTCCAAGCGCTGCGCACACGAATCGTGGACATAGCGTTAAAATTATTATGCGCACGAAGATAAATAGACGCTTACTTAAATCACATTTGTTCTCTCTCATACTCTTCTCCGGGGGCAATGGAAAGCAAACCAAAGCGTGACCACACTGTGGTCGCGCAGCACTGCACGTATTAACAGTCACACAACGTCTGAGTTATTATTGAACCAACACGGATTCGGCCGACAAACTGAATAATCGGCCAGGAAACACACGTCTGCTTTTTCTCTTATTCGGTTTGGCGCCTGCGAGAATCAGGGTAGGCCGCACATGCACCACAGGCAGTAGGTTGCCTTGCCTACCTATCAGGCGCTCTGCGAGCTTTGAACTTGGCATATAACAGCGGATGAAGGTAATGCGCTACGAATGATCCTTGATACAAAATTATGTGTATTCTCTCATTGCTGCTATGAATTATTATGGAAGCACACCTTGTCTATCCATCATGGCCATGGTGCTTATTACACGAGCTTCGGAAAGAATGGATATTTCCGACGATACCCAGCCCCTCGATAAGCGAGATGCACTGGTGTGTGAGGGAGTGTATGAGAGAGAGCAACATCTGTTCACTTCAAAAATGTTCAGGATTTTATAAAACATTTAGCTTTTTAAATCTACTTTACCGGCATAACGCTCCTGGTGGTGCGCGCACGAGTCGTGCGCATAACATTTTGGGTGATGCGTGCACGGCTCATGCGCGCACTATTATAAATTTTATGTGCACGATCATTGGAGCTTGTCGGTCTTCTTACTCAAGACATATTACTATTTCTTGTTTGGCTCGTGCGCGTAACTATTACGATATAATGAGCACGAAGGTCTTCGTGAGCGTAAGCCTTCGGGAGCAATGCACACGAAGGTCTTCGGGAGCAATGCACACAAAGGTCTTCGTGCGCATCACTGTTAAAAAAA